ATCATTCTGTGAGACTTGTATGAACTGCTCTGTGATCTCCTGCTTCCAGCGGTGCCCTCCAGAATACCTACGTTTCTCTGCAAGCAAGACTCCTGTATTTCTTCGTTGTTGTGTTGCAGAAGCCATTGACTGTCATCCATTATTACATCTTAGAACTGTGAGTTATCACCAATGCATACTTCCCTAAGCAATCCCCTATTTTAGTGACTTTATTCATTGTATTTTTCTGTGCTTTATTTCTTGTAATTAGTTTGAGAGGTTATTAAAGCCAGGAGCTTTAACTCGATATTTTGGTGTATGTGTATTTCATTTCCAGTAATGTTTTCTTGTCTACCTTATACTAGCAGTGAAAGAACCCCTTGTCCAGTGTGAGTTCTGTGTGTGCCCTCTCATTAGCGATAAGCAGGTCTTACACTGTGACAGTGTTCCCACCAACTCAATTAAAATTCTAACCCACATATGCACAGGCGACAACTTCGCGGCTTCAAGAGCATGAATAATGAAAGTAGGTTGTTACTTAGCGACACACCGTAGAGCTACGGCCGCTATTTGAGGTCAATTTGCTTGAATATAATTAAAACTTGCCTCTTCTGCGGCAAATGTGAGTAACTTCTCGCTGCTTTCATAAGAACATCCATGGCGGTTGGCTTCTATTCATCAGGGTTATGCACGTTGACAGAATACTTAGTCCTGTAAACAACATTGATGTATTTCAGGCCGAAGTCCTGGGCTATCGTGATCAGTGCACTAGTGGCGAGTCAGATTGAAGCGACTGCAGCCCATCAATCAATGCGCACAATAGGCCGATCTTCCCACTCCTTAGGAACATATAGGTTGGCAATTTCGCCAATTGTGATTTCTCGGTTTTTGATGACAGAGTTTCACGGTGTGTCACCACAAACCACGCCGCCGAGATTCACTGTCAACTAACGCTCGTAAAGTATAGATCTGTGTGAGACTTTGGTACTTTGATCATAATACTCCCACGAAAATGCAACTTGGATTTGTTATGCGGTGGGCGGAAAAAAATGAAGGTAAAAATAATTTTTTTAGCAATAAAATTTTATTTTTATTTCATTTTTTGCTCCTGTTCATTCAGCAGGTTTGCGAAACAAGGGATAATACAAGTCTGGCCTTATGTTTTATAAACAGGATTTCTATTGATAATTCTATCTAAGTTATAACATCCATCCATTTGTTTAATGCATCTACAATAGACATTTATCACAGTCATATCAAGCCATAGCCAATTCATGCGATGCAGCATAATGTCCAGTCACAAAATGAAATAGTTGCCTCTCTATATCTCCTAGTAGCCCACTGGCACCAAATCGGAACATTGTTGGTGTCAACCAATCATTGCCCAGTTCTTCTTTCATCAACGCTAGCCAGGAGCAAGCATCTTTAGCTGTACGGATGCCACCAGCTGGTTTGAATCCAACCTAAAAACATTTTGAGAGATGTCGTGTGATTACTCCAATTTTATTAGTGTGTGTTTATCTACATTGACTTGGTTCACATTGCTGCAAGGTCAGAACAGAAAATATGTAGAATTATGCCATACCAGTCAAAATTGGCATTTAAATTTGT